ATTAATTGTTTTCTTACATCATTGTATTCCCCATAGTTGTGCCACCATCATATCACCCATGGTGTCTTAGTTCTTAACAAAAGTTTAAAAAGTAAAGCATATGTGTGTGTGTGTGTATAAATATATATATACATACATATATGTACATACATATGTATGTGTGTGTACACACACACATATGTAAATAGAAAAGAGTGATAGAATAAATATATAATACATGAAAATATTTTTTGTTTGGCCAAACAATCTCTTTGTGTTTTAAGTTAAAGTGAATGTTATTCCAAAAAAAGACAAAAACTTAAAAAAAATAATGAAAAAGGGCCCTCCCTGGTGGTGCAGCAGGTTAAAGCACAGCACTAAGAAGCTAAAAGCCACTTCCACATGGGTTCGATTCCAGCCTGGCCCAGAGGTGACCACATGGCGAGGCAGACCTCTCCTGACCTGCCCGCTGCTCCCCTCAGCAGTGTACTTCATAGATCTGCCTGTTCTGCTCCCCACTCTGTCTCTGGTGAAGCCTCTTGTGGCCCCTGAGCCTCAGGCCTGTACCCCAGTTCTCGATGTACAAATAAATAAATCTTAAAAAGAAAATAATTAAAAGTTTATATAATAACTATATTACATTTCATTAATTATTGTAGAAAGAAAACTATTTTAATAAATCTAATGTCCCCTAAGTGTTTAGAGTTTCTGAAGTCTGTAGTAGTGTATACAAATGCCCAAGGTCTTCACATCTACTCACCACTTACTGACTCACCCAGAGCAACTTCCTATCCTGCAAGCTCCACTTATGGAAAGTAAACTATTCAGTGGTATCACTTTTATCTTTTATATGGCATTTTATATGTCTGGTTAGGTTAAGTTACACAAATACCTTTGTGTTACAGTTGCCTGAAGTATTCAGTGTAATGACATGCTGTACCGATGCGTAGCCTAGGAGCAATAGGCCCTAGCAGACACCCTCTGTGTGTAATAGGCCATCCCACCCCAGTTTATAGAATCATACTTATGACTTTTGCACAATAAAATCATCTAGTGACGTGTTTCTCAGAACTATCCCTATCATTAAAGGATGCATGATGTTATTGGGGAGAGCACTGACTGCTTCATTCTTAATAACAATGCACCCTAAGCCAGTTACCTGATAGCCCAAAACCTCAGTTTCCCGATCTGTACAATGACTGTGATAACAGCCACTTCACAGGGTTGGTGGATGAAGACCAGAGACAATGTGTATAAAGTCTCTGATGCATCAACATCACCTTCTAAATGTCAGTCAGACCTCAATCTAAATCAGTTTTTTTTTTTTTCTCTCACTGGAGCCTCTTTTCTTTTCTAGTTGGAATTGCATCAGTTGTATACTTGTGTTCTTATCTTTTGAATGGTGGTTTTGTGATTGCAAGTTCTATGAGGACAGGAACAATGTCTGCTTTTCTCAACACCAGAGAAGAAGACAGTCAGTAAACTTTTGTTAAATGATGACATAAATGTATGAATAAATAAATGAATAACAATATCTACATCTGTGCCATGACTTTGGGCATCTCGGGAAAAATATCTTTTTTCCTTTGGTGAGAATCCAAGTTGCTAAAGCAAGATTATGTTCCTAAGACTGCACTGAGGGATTTTCAGGGTTTCTACCAGTCAAGAGAAAGAGCACCAGACCTCATCTCAGCTTTCTGACACTGCACATAACCATTTTTGAGCATGATGGAAACCATACAAACTTTCAGTTCAACTGGTTCTATGATTTCAGAACCCAGTTCTTTGTGTCTTGCTTATATCTACTGTGCAACTAAAATTCCTCATGTGATTTGTGATGAACTTTGTAGATAGTGACCCATGCTTAGCAATAACCTTGAGTGGATGTCTAGACTTTCTAGTAATACAAGGACTTTCTTTCTAATACAAGGCAAAATGATAACCTTTTCTTTAGACTTGGGGAGGAAAAGTGATGAACTAGTAATTAGCATCTGATGTATTCTGCGAGTTCTGTGATAAAAAGGACTGGGAATTGAAGGACATAGAGGGAATGTATTGTCCAGTGGGTGAAGTAATATACATATAGTTGGATAAAATTTATAGCTTTTTAAATGTAACTACATGCATCGTCTTGTCCTTGTTTCCCTGCAATGATGGAAAATAGGGATGTATGGATAATATTTGTACTGCAGTTTATTGCTCATATAGACTGAGGCAAGTGGAGTGGTCTGCAATATAGCTCTGGTTTCAGTGGCAGAGAAGAATTCAATAAGATCTCATGACTGTAGATTTTTCTTTTGGGCCACTCTGCATGTACTTGCTTTTCTATTAGTCAGTCTTGTGAACATGCCTGTAATGTCTTGATTGCTCCAACATTTGAAATGAATTCCCCATGAATTTTTGTGATGGGACATCAGGAATAAATACAACAAAAGGCAGCAAGCTGGCCCTCCCTGGTGGCGCAGCGGGTTAAAGCACAGCACTGAGAAGCTGATGCCACTTCCTCAAGAGTTGGATTCCCACCTGCCCCAGAGGTGACCACATGGTGTGGCAGACCTCTCCTGACAGGCCCTCTGCTCCCCTCAGCAGTGTACTTCGTTGATCTGCCTGTTTCTGCTCCCCACTCTGTCTCTGGTGAAGACTCTTGCTGCCCCTGAGCCTCTGGCCTGTACCCCAGTTCTGTATGAACAAACAAATAAATCTTTAAAAAAAAAAAAAAGGCAGCAAGCTAAAGTCCATGGTCCTATTAGCATGTTGCAAGCTTTTGTAAATGAAGTTTTCTCATAACATACTCATATGCACTTGTTTACTATCTTCTGTGATTTCTTTTACATTACAAAGGCAGAATTGAATCTTTTCATCAGAGACTGTACAACCCACAGTGTATAAAATGTTTACAATTTATTCCTTTAGACAAGTGAATAAAATAAAAATAATTGTAAAAAAAATTTATTCATAATAGGAAGTGTGTCATAATTGAAAAAGAGAATGAGAATTGGTCTTGGAATCTCACCTGTACGACTTGGTTAGGTGAACAAGTTACTTATGCCCTTTGGGTCTATTTTTGCATTTATCACCTTATAGAGTTGCTTTAGGATTTCTATTGGGTAAGGTATATCAGTTATTGTTAGGTTTGACCCAGTATATATGAAAACATTAAACAGAGTGCCTTGCACAATGTAGCCTTTGCTTCATTGATGTTTGTAATTCGCATGGAGGTCTGGAAGTGGTTTGGGTGGTGTGCTAGTATTTCACCGTGTTAGGAATCAAAGCTCTTTCAGTTTGTTTCTTTGATATGTGTGGCTCTTATTCGGAAGTTCTCTCCTGGTTCACAAAATTCTGGAGCCTCAGTCATACTCTTGTTGCTGTTACTACTACTGACAGTATGACAATTAAAGGAAACAAATCAAATATCAAATGCACATAGAGGAGAAATAGAGTCATCCATAAAGAATAGGCATCAACTGGACTATGGTGATGGCACACAGGTGATTTGGTGATGGGAAGCCTATGGGGATTACAACTGAGATGGGAAAAGGCACAAAATGATGTAAAAGTAAGCTATTATATCAAAAAAGAATAGGCATCAAATCCACACTAATTCAAATTTAGTTATGATGTAACCTCCTGCTATAGTTTATGAGACAACCAGTGAGGGGAATAAATAAAAATATTTATTTATAGAATATGGAATAATTTATTTCACTCATGGTGCACACTGGATGGAAGCAGTCTTATATGTATTCAGCAGCTAACATGTTACAAAATATTTTCATAAACTATTTGCTCTTCACAATACTTTGCAAAGGTAAGAATAGGTTTTAATGTAATTGGTCTTGTTATACACTACTAATCCCACAACTGCTAAGTAATCTGATTCCAGTACCTCTTTCATACCAAGGAGTACATGCTGGATATCTGGATATTTGTTGGAAATGGAAAGTGAACAAGGATGGTGTAGAAGTCAGAAAATTACCCAAATACTAGACCCTTAGCAGAAATGGAACTGATTATATGAGCTCACCCGTACTGTGCCAGTATTCTCAACGCTGTAGAAAAGATAGTGGCATCTGTTGACTTTTGAGGTTTTTATAGGATACTAGACAATGAATATAAAACACACACACAGTTCAGGTTAATAAAATCAGTCATTACCTCATTACTTAGGCTTACCTTTCAGAATTTATGTGTCCTTGGGAAATAATTTCCCTTTACTAAGAAACAAAAGGTTTGCATTTTCTAGGAAAACAACAGGTTTGGATTTGCTAAGCTATCTTCCAAACTTCCAGTTTCATCAGCCTGGAAATATGCATTTTGAAGCAGCTTAGATCGGAGCTTGGTTAGTTCCCTCTGTAACTTACTGTGTGTCTCAGGACAAGACACAAAGTTTTCTGACTTTCCACAGCTGTAAAATAGCTACCTAGCTTATTGGGATAGCAAGGATTTTGAAGATTAAATGAGTAAATCTGTTCCAGAATCCACTAGACGTTAACTTTCTGAAAGGCAGAGACCCATGTTTTGTAGATTTACAGATTGGTATCACTGCAGGGGACTGGTATACATGAGTAAATTCAAGTCGAGCAGCAGAAACAAGCTCTGGCACAAAGCAGCTAGTCAATTATTGTTATTGTTACAGTTATTATTAAATCATCTACAACATTCCTGGTATTCAAAGAATGGAGAAGTAAAGTCATGGATTCATTGGGGGAAGCCTTAGATTTGTGTAAGTGAATTCTGAAAAATAAGCCCCTAAGCTGAAAAACCCGCAACATGAGTGGACAGAGCTCCTTTAAAAGTCCAGCAAGGCAGGAGGGGCAGGAAGGAGGGTGAGATGCTAGCCACTAGCCAGCAGCGACGCTGGGAGCTCCCGAACCAAGCTTACTCCACGTGAAGTGGGAGGGGCGTAGGCGCGGGCCAATCCCGGGTCGGGTTTAAAGGACCAACCAGGCGGTGTTTTACAAGAGCCGCGTCCGGCGGAGGCGGGGCCAGGTGCGGGGCGGGCCGAAGTCGCCTGCGGGGACCGCCCAGCTCGTGCTCGGTGAGGCTCAGCGCGGCGCCTGGCAGAGCCCTCCTAGCTATAATGTAATTTCAGATTGGACAAGTAAGTGACCCTCTCAGTCTCACTAGTGCACCAGGAGCTTCTGCAAGTAGTAGGCTCGCTGCAAGCATGTTCTCCTGTCGGAGAGCGCTCCAGGCCCACAACTATTTCCTTTATCCTGAGGTGGCAGCCACGTCTTCCTCTTCTCCCTCTGGCGGCTTACGTCTCCTGCATCCTCCTCTCTTGGGTGACCATCTGGCCACTTAAGGGAAGGCTCGGCCTTTACTGCGGCCAGAAGACTGCCTAAGGGGTGTCAGGAGCTCCTGCCACCTCTGTCTACTTTGCTATATTCACCCCCTTATTTCCTGCCCTATTGTAGGCCACTTCCCCAGGCATATTTTAGTCTTTTAAGTAAAATCTGGCTGCCTATAGTAGTGGCCAAAGGGCTGTACTGCCGGCAACTTTAAGTGCTTTCAGCTGTTTATGATAATTAGGTGCAGTTTTTTGAGATGGTATAGTACTTAATTAGTTACTGGAATCCTGGGTGCCAGAGCCCTAGGGATAGCTTTCAATTTTTATTAATTTTCCCTTTTAAGGATCCTCAAGATGCAAAATGGCGAATTTCCCTAATCACCCACTGTTTCCACTGAAACACTTCTCTTGTTTTAACTAATTTTGTCCCTGAATTAAAGGGTCAGTCATTAGATTTCGAAGAACAGTCATTAGGTTAATTTTGAAAATAGAAAGTCAGGTGGAGGAAGTGATTATGCTTTTGAATTGCAAATCAGTAGGAAAGAAAGCCATTCTCCTCATAGTTTGGGGCAGTTATTTAGTTGGTAGAGGTAAGCATTTGTTTGTTTTGCTTGCTGTCCCAGTCCTTCCTTATCAGGTCTATATCCTGATTTTTTAAAGTGGCCAACTGTGTCTCCCAGCCTTTTGACTGCTTCTTGGGCTTCTGGGAATCTCCTGTCAAAGAGGCCTTCATGCTTGGCTCTTGACCTGATGGTCACTGGCCTGGCAGTTAGAGGGACCATCTGAAGAGGTTCTCATAGTGGGAGGCCCTGAAGTACTGTTAGTAAAGATGACTGGGAGAACAGGCCTGAGAGGAGGAAAAGGGCCAGAGGTTGAATTTGAAAGGAAGGGAGGTTGGGAGCTCCCTGGGTGGATTTAGAAGTCAAAACTTGTATCTTGGGACTAGGCAATAACCCAGAGGGTGGAGAACTGTGTTTTCCTGGATGAAATTTAGAAGTGTACTGGGAAGAGATTAGGCTGTGTTAACTACTGCTGTGGGCCTTATCTTCTGGAATTGATTTCTTTCCTGTCTACTTTCACTTAGTTGAAAGCACAGCTAGTTTTGAAAATGATTTGAAGTCACTCAAACTCTCAGAGCAGCTGGAACCCCTTCCCTACCTCCACACACCCTTCTCCCCGTGCACCAGGGAATTTGAAATATTTTACCAGAATGTCCTGCTGAGATCACTTACCCTTTCATTGCCCGTATTTTTATAAGGTGGAATGTAGAAACAACTCAGGTGGTACAAGAGGAGATCATGCATATCTGTCCTGCTCATTCATTTGTTCGTTAATCTGTTGGCACATTTTCTGGATCTGGCACTGAGGTAGGCTCTGGGAAAGTAAAGACAAGCGACTTTGTTTTTGCTTTCAGTATCTGGTGAGGGATATTGTATGATAGTGAACTTTGCATGATGGCAGGGTAGATAGAAGCTTCTCAGGAGATGAGAGGAAGGCGATTGGTCCAGTGTATGGATTTGGGAAGACTTTCCCGAGGAGACGGTATCTGAACTGGGTTATAAAGCCTCCCCCTGAGTGGATTGGAGAAAGACAAGAGGGGGAAGAAATGATCTGATTTGGGAACAGCAGTACCATACTGTTCATTAGTGTGACTGGGCAGGACCATGAGAAAGAGTTTGGGGAGAGTGAAAGTGCCAGATCCTGGAGGGTCAGATAAGTCATGTTAAAGGAGTGGGAGATGTATTTCCAGAGCAACAGGAGCTGTTGAATGGACACTCAGATCTGTGTTTTGAAATTTATTCTGACTGCCCAGTGGAGAATAAGTTGGAGTAGTGAAGACTGGAGTGAGACTATTAGACTGTGAGAGATGGGTGAGGGTAGTAGTTAGGGGACTGGAGAGGTTAGGAGAATAGAATGGTTAGGAATTAGTTACTAATTGAATATAGTGGATGAAGAAAGAAGATAAGCAGTCAAAGTACCATAGGGGAAAATAAGTCATTCCCTATTGGGGGTATATTTTTTCCAACAGTCTGTTATGGATTAATTGACATGCAATAAGCCACATATTACAGCATCTAATTTGAGAAGTTTTGGCATATGAATATCTAGCCATGAAACTATCATCACAATCAAGGCAAAGAATGTAGATAACACCTTTAAGGTTTCTTGTGCTCCCTTGGCAATTCTTCCCTCACCCCTAGTTCCCTCCCTTCTCCCTCTACTGCCCAGTCAACCAATTGTCTGCTTGATGTCACTATCTCTTATTTCAGATATTTTTAGGATGTTGGGGGAGAAGGGTCATACAGTGTTATTTTTGTGTGTGGTAGCTTTTCCTTTATATTCTCATCTTGAGATTCATGCCTGTCGTGTATACACAGGTAGCTCATTCCTTTCTTTGCTGAGTAGTCTTCCATTGTATGACTAACCCATACTTTGTTTATCCATTAATCTTTGATCTTTGGTGGATATTTGTATTATTTACAGTTCAAGCTGCTATCACCATTTGTGTCCATGTTTATGTATGGGCATATGCTTCCATTTCTCATGGTAAATATATGGAAGTAGACTGATTAGTTCACCTGGTAGATATGTTCAACTTTTTAAGAAACAACCAAATAGTATTTCAAAGTAATTGTGTTATTTTGCTTCTCCTTTAGAGTGCATGAAGCTTCCAATTGCTTTAAAGATTGATGTGGTCACTTTCTTTAATGTTGGCCGTGCAAATAATGCGGTGTTCTCTTTTAGTGGTTTTAATTTGCATTTCCCTGATGACTGCTAATATCAGTTTTCTTATTATGAACTTATTTGCCCCGTGTCTATATTCTTGGATGCAATGTTTGTTAACTCTTTTGTACATTTTAAAAAATGGACTGTTTTCTTAATGGGTTTTGAAAGGTTTTTATGTATTCTCATAATAACTTATTTATCACTGTGATTTATGAATATTTTCTCCCATTTTATGATAGGCCTTTTCATTCTTAATACTACATTTTGAAAATCAGAGTTCTGCCTTACCAGTGTTATTTTGATGATGCTGATCCTTTATGGGACATGGCTCTGGTGATATATCTAAGACATCTCCCCTAATATGAAGTCTCAGATACTTTTTCTTTTCTAAGGAAGATGTATTGTTTTTGCTTTTACACTTACTCTTGGCAACTATCTTAAGCTGTGTTTGCACATGGTACCAGAATGTGCGTGTTCCCCAGTGTAGCTGATGCTGGAACTCATCCTTTGGGAGGCACTGATGCCCTAGCCTCTTTAAAAAAAAATTAAACAAATGGGGTCATATTATAGAAGCTAAGACTTATTTAATAATATATAATTAGCATTTTTCTTAGCTCCTTATTGCTTTTTTAAAAAAAGATTTATGCATACAGAAATGGGATACAGTGAGAGGTGCAGGGAGGGGCGGTGAGGGGATTCACCAGAGACAGAGTGGGGAGCAGAACAGGCAGATTGACGAGGTACACTGCTGAGGGGAGCAGCGGGCGGGTCAGGAGAGGTCTGCGGCACCATATGGATCACCCCCCCTGGGCAGGGATCAAACTTGCACTGAAGCAACCATGCCTTGGCTTAGCTTGGCAGGGCAGTGCTCCAGTCCGCTGGGCCACCAGGGAGGGCCCCTCTTAATTGCTTTTAATAGTTTTAATGGCTACCTATGTATCAATTTTAGCATTTAATTTGCTTCCAGATTTTGTGAATATTCTCTTGCTGTTACAAGAAAAGGTGGTAATGGATACTTTTGTACATATCTTTTAGGTGAACCAACCCATAAATTCTTAGAAGCTAAGTTGTTAAGTAAAAGCATAGATGTTGAAAATGGGCAGACATTGCCAAGTTGTTCTAAAGTAGGTTGAACCAGTTACCCACCCCTTAAAAGTGTACACAATGCCTGGACTATGGGGATGGCACATGGGTGATTTGGTAATGGGAAACCCAAGGGGATTGCAACCGAGATGGAAAAATGCACAAAAATATGTAAAAGTAAACTAATATGAAAAAAAAAGCGTACACAGTGTCTGACGTATACTCTTGCCAGAAGTGGTTATTATCAAAAATTTTTAATTTTCATCTATTTGTGAGGTATAAATTTCATCTCAGTATTGTTTTGACTTGTACTTCTTATATGTTGTGTGAAGCTAAAGATTCATATACATTCAGAGCATTATTCTTTGTGAACTGCAAGTTTGTATCATCGTAATTACAAGAAGAGGGAACTCTGTGAACCAGGAATTCTACTTGGAGGGCATCACCGGTAGGTACACCCGTAGTATACCTAGCATCAGTAGTTTTATAGGTTGGAGTAAAAGGGTTGAGAGTGGGGAGCTGGTGGTGAGTGAAGGTGAAAGAGACAGGCTTCTAGGTCGTTGGGGGCAAATAAAGAAGAGCTGGTGGTTTAAGCTTGTATTTGGTTCTTGCTAATTTTGACAGGTTGTGTTTGTAAAATAGCAGGCTATCCAGTTCTTCATCTAATGTTTAATCTTCAAATAACTTACTCTTTAGGCCTTTCACCTTGGATCTTAAAGCTACTTGGCCCTGCCTCGGTGACAGATAAACACACAAACAGGCCAAAGACCAACCTCAGGCCTGGCCTTGTCTCTGAGAAAGGAGTTTTGCAAGACTGTGTGGGGAGGTGATTTTGTTGCTTTGCCTAATGCTGCCTGGAGTCCTTCCTGTACGCTGACATCTGACAACACTCATTATGGCTGGGGGTTCTTCTGCTGCTTGCTTTTGGTGATTTTCTGGGAAAAGTTGTGGATTTCGGCCAATATGCTAATGATAACGACATTGCTTTAAATGTCTGGTTA